CATAAAAAAGACCCCCTTTTCCATCAGTTGCTGCATGGACAGAAAGGCTGTAGGCTTCAACTCCTGAGAGAGATAAAGAGAGAGAGAGAGAGGGCGAGGGAGAGAGGGAGAGGGAGAATTAAATAAGAAACATTTTACATTTTACAACATGCTTTAACATGTTTAACTCTGTAATATATATTTCTGATTTAACACTTATGCACTGTTTGGATTGTAGAGAGAGAGAACCAAACAGAATAATCATGTTCCTGACATCTAACTCTAAACTCCAAATTTAAGTATATAAGAGTAAAACCAACCAACTGAATGTTCTCCCTTCTTTCCTCAATTATTTGTCAATCCGGTAACACTTTCTATGAAGCCTGTATTTATAACACATTATAAGGGTTTTCTTAAGGCATTATAATTAATGCATAAAGCATTATAAAAAAACCTTAATAATATGTTGTATCATCTCATCAATAATCATAACATTTACAATACATTATAATACTTTCGCATTTGTGGTTATAACTTTTAAGAGTATGTTTACGTATAACACACAATGAATTGAATACCATTATAAATCCACTTAATTTATAATGGATTATCTTGACATTTGTTTATTTAAGATCTGGACAGTATCTTACTAAATCTTGTGAGTGGTTAGGAGTGGTTGACTGTTGTTTTGAGTGTTTCTCAAAAGTGTTAATATTAATTTTGCTGTGAGCTAGTTTAAGATCAGTTGTAATACTTTCAAATGAAAAAATGCAACGGGTGTTTTTTTTAATTTATTAAATTACATCTTATTTTGATGGTCTCCTTTAGTCTATTGACTATAAGCAACTTTGCAACTACATGTCAACTAACACTCATTAGAGTATCAGTATGCTTAGTTAAGATTAGGGTTGGTAGAATAAGTTGATGTACATGCAAAGTTGCTTATAGTCAGTAGAATATATCTTGAGGAACCATCAAAAAAAAGTGTTAGCAGATATTTAGCAGACAGTCTACTAATACTCTAATGACTGCTAGTTGACATGTAGTTGCAGAGTTACTTATCAACAGTTGTCTAAAGCAGTGGTTCCCAACCCTGGTCTTGGAGGCACCCCAACACTGCATGTTTTGCATGTCTCCTTAATCAAACACACCTGATTCAGGTCATCAGCTCATTAGTAAAGACTCCAAAACCTGAAACTGGTGTGTCAGAGAAAGGAGACTTGGAAAATGTGCAGTGTTGGGGTGTTTGTCTGCTTTATGTAGTGAAGTTACGTCACTTAAAGCAGACAAAGAGCACTTATAAATAATAAGACCACATTAAAGCATTTTGGAATGTTTTGATGAAGACTTTGTATTTGTTATTTTACAGTAAAAACACAAATAAGATGTACTAAGTTAGTGTGCAGATCTTAAACAATGGCAAGATATGAGACCTATAATGCATTATAACTATGAGAAATATAGTCCATTGTAACTTAAGTGGATGCAACGTGTTAATTGTGTGTTATAAATCATCATACTCTTAAGTATTATAATACATTAAAACTGTTCTTATGATTATTTATAAGATGATGCAACATATTATAAGGTTTCTTATAATGCCTTATTCATTCCTTATAATGCTTTAAGAATAACCTTATAATGTATTATAAATACTGTCAGACTTTGTTCCGTGTTTTGTGTGTGTTTTGCTCCCCATGTGCCCTGCTTGCCCATATTTGGTTAGTTTCCTGTCCCTGTCCTGATTATGTTGTTTTAATTCCAGGTGTTCCCCGTTTATTTCCATTGATCCCAGGTGTGTCTCGTCATCCCCTCGTCTTGTCATGTGTTTAAATAGTGTTCCCTGTTTTTAGTTCAGCATCCGGTATTGTTTATGTCTACATGTGCTACGTGCGTTTTCATTGTTCCTTGTTATAATTAAAATTCTCTGGATTGATGTACTCCTCGTCTCCCTCCGTTCCTTGCTCCGCACTCCACTCAGTAGTGCAACCATGACAAATACAGGCTTCATAGAAAGTGTTACTGTCAATCCTTCTATTAAAATCTTCCACTTCACTGAAATAGTTATCAGAGAACAATCACTGTTGAGTTAACAGAAATATCAGTAACAAAAGGTGCACTGGGCATTGTGCAAAATTAATTCATATTCCTCTCTGACCTGTAATTATAATCCGAACCAGAAATTCCGTAGGACAGCCAGGGCATATATGATGGCCTATGAAAAAACAGTTAATTTAAGTGTACTATTATAGCACTACTGAACAGCAAGCCATTATACATTGGTCCATACACGAGTAGCACCAGCATGCAGTTTATACAGTAGATTTTGTAAGTGCAGGTGCAGGACACTCACAAACACATTACATGGTCAGGCATACCTCTGGAAAAAGAGCACCACAGATGAACTGCACTGCATCTGTGAAGCTCACTTGTGTTGGTGTCCTATGCAGCACTCCTCTCAGATAAGCAAACAGGACAGTTGTTCCTCACTGTTGAGGTAGACAGGCACCCGGGAAGAGGTTAGCTTAGAAATTGATACATTTAAGATACAGATACAATAATTTGCAGCATAGTTAAAATATATTGTTAATGTTATTCCTAATTAAGGCCCTTGGTGAACCTTTACTATGAGTTTGTTTGTAATGATGATTAAATGTGAACATTGTTTAAGTACCACTAATGCTCCTCAGATCCATGTAACTTTACAATGAAGTCCACCAGTCTCTTTACCTCTGCGGTGCGGTCATCAACAGCCTGAATGTGGATTTTCTCTGAGATAGCACACTAGACCGGCTGAAGAGTTCCTTGAAGCAAGATTCTGGCCTCATCAGTCCAGAAGGCAAACCGCTGACCATGCCTTTCAAACATCAGCAAGATTAATCTAAAGTACTGCCAAAACGACAGGCTAATAACACAGATTGTGGTGCAACCAAGCTGTGAGCCCAGTTTAATTATGAAAGATGATTAATACTTAGCCAATATACTAAAACAATGAGTATCAAACAAGTTTTCACACTAATACAGTTACCTACAGGTAAATATGACACATCTCGCATCAACATGCTTTTATCATCTTTTTTTAAGTTTAATTAATGTGCTGGCTAGATTTACTTATTATAGTCATTATGTCAACAAGGTTTAGCTTAATTAAATTATGGCCACAAATTAAGAACATCGTAATAATCAATAAAACTAGCATTTGAGAATTAATTATTATTTCTTAGCAGTTCTCACGTTGGCTACGTAAACTTTGCATCGTTTTAAGGTTATAAAATAAAACTTAATTGAAAATCGGTAAAGTTACTCACTCTGATTGCTGTCCATGTCGTCCATTTTAGTGATCCAATTCAGTAGGTGGCGCTGTTACAAAATAATAGGGTCCTAGAACTGCGGTCCTGAAACTGCAGCATCCGGTTGTGCAGGAACCTACTATTATGGCCTCAAACAGACCGACCAAATAAGCCTCACTAGCCTGCAGCGCCATGACAGCGGAGCTCTGGAAATGCAGATCCGTCTTGAAATCTTGAGCGATTTCTCTCACCAGACGCTGGAAGGGCAGTTTGCGAATCAGCAGTTTAGTGGATTTCTGATAACGGCAAATCTCTATCAAAGCTACGGTACCGGGCCTGTAACGATGAGGCTTCTTAACGCCGCTGGTAGCCGGAGCGCTTTTACGAGAGGCTTTAGTTGCCAGCTGTTTTCTCTGGGCTTTTCCTCCGGTGGATTTACGAGCAGTTTGCTTGGTTCTTGCCATTACTTAGAAAAGAGCCGTTGCTGTTAGATACGACCCTAAAAAAATTATAAATGCTATGCCCAATTCAAAACAGTCTTATTTAAGCCCAGGGCTGTCATGTGCTGATTGGACGGAGTAGCTTCAAGCCATTTGATTGGTTATTGTCTGGCGTCTCGAAATAACAGCTGGCCAATGGCTGTGCGTAATATGTTTTCAAACTGATTGTGGTTCCCGCCCAAAAGAATAGTGAAAAAAAAAATTTACACCTAAACAGCACGATGTGTATTTTATTTACTTGTATGTACGCTTCAATGTATCTTGTTTTTTTTTAGCCATGCCAATAAAGCCATAGCTACATACATTCATTACAACCTTAACAGTGTGACTGGATTAGAATCTAATACGGTAGCTTCCATTTAAATTGTTTTGATACTATGTGCTTTTTTATTACGTTTTAACAAATGATAAGTGTATAGTCCTTAAACTAAAATGTGCTTGCGCATTTCTTTAGCACATACACTTTTATAAAAAAATGACTGGATGAAGAAAATCACTCTCACAGAGAAAATGTGTGGCTCTTAAAGGTGAGGTATGCAATATTTCAAAAACGCTTTAGAAAACTGATTCGGGCCGAATAGCAAAACAAAATTGTAGCCAATTAGCAGTAAGGGGCATCTACTCATGATGTGGAGGAGAGAGCGTTCAGTGCATGGGACGGACATTAGCCGAGCCGAGCGACAGAGAGATAGAGATGGCGGATAAAAAACAAAAGAGGAAAACGTCTGCGGAACGGTAAGGCAAGAAGTAGGACCCGTGTAAATATTGGATCAGCTTTCCAGCGCTGGAGAGAACTCAAGGAGTGGAAGGCCTGCGATCGGACGCCAAGGTTGCTTTGTTTCTTCTCCATAGGTGAGTAACACTGTGTCTGCGCCGCGATAGCTAAAGTTTGTCTAGTACACTGGACGCGACAAAGCGACCGTTGAAAATCATTTGAAATTTGTGTCAATATGTGATAAATAGAACGCAGCAGCAGTTTTCTGTCGTAGACCACAGATATGTATATATATCTATGGTGAAGACAGCATCACTGATTATAACGAGACCCTTTTGGGGTAGGGGCGTGTTTGTTTTGGTGATTTCAAATGTCAACATTGGCTACCAGAAATAGCTTACCCCACATTTAAAAGAGCCTATTGTTTAAAAAGAAAATTCACTCAGTTTACTTGGTCTTGGCTTGTTTCTCGGTTTTCTTGGGCAGCAGCACGGCCTGAATGTTGGGCAGCACACCGCCCTGAGTGATGGTCACGCCACCCAGAAGCTTGTTCAGCTCCTCGTCGTTGCGCACCACCAGCTGCAGGTGACGCGGAATGATACGGGTCTTCTTGTTGTCCCGAGCGGCGTTTCCAGCCAGCTCCAGGATCTCAGCAGTAAGATACTCGAGCACAGCGACCAAATACACCGGAGCACTGGCGATAGTGGCCTTTGCGGAGAAGCACCTGCGATAGTGGCCTTTGCGGAGAAGCCTGTGAACACGGCCGACGGGGAACTGCAGTCCAGCTCTGGAGGAGCGAGTCTTGGCTTTAGCGCGAGCCTTTCCACCGGTTTTGCCTCTTCCACTCATTGTACTTGGAAAACTGTTCTTTGACCACGCAACATAACAATGAACTTTTCTATAGTTCTGTCAGGACCACTATCGTCAAACATAACTTACAATTAGCATACATTTTAGGTTGGGGGGTATGGTTCTGTTCTGGGCAACACTCCCTGCCCATCCATGCAGCCTAGCATGGATAGGAGCAGGGAGAGCATAAATAACACCCCTAGGGTAAACTGAACAGAACCAACATTAATGATTAATGTAGCAGCATGCCCCTTTAATGCAGTACAGCATAAGGTCAATACTCGAAATTTAGGCAACAGGCATGTTTGCATTAATAAGCTTAGTAGCTAAATCGACATACTGCGCGTTAAGTATCAAGCACGTTACCGATACACTAGATAGCTTTAAGCAACAGCATATCACTGACTATAACACAGCGTGTTGGAACTAATAGTAGGATAAGTTAATGAAACAGCATTCCCAATACTAGATGAGCCTGAAGCAGCAAGCCTATTTCATATCAGACAGCCTTAAACGACAGATTTAAAACCAGGCTCGCTGTGGTAAGTTTAACTGGGTAATGTTACCAGCGTGTCAAAATACAACAGCATGCCTAGCAAACATGTTACTGAACAACTAGCCTTAAACAATGAACAATATATGACGATAGCATATTTGCCAACATAGCATTAGGCAATGAGAATGAAATAAGAAACTTAGCTTAGCTTCGTGAAGACATTCAGAGATGAAAAAAGGGTGAAATGGCCAGTTGTTACGTGGATGCTTTAACGCTTCTTCATATCTTGCTTCTTCCAGCGGGGAAAGCAGATCTCGTGTTAAAGTGTTGTTGATGCAGTCACATTAGCACAACTTCAGCAATGAATTGCGGGCAAGAAGTCTATGTCAATTGTGAGAAGCAGTGCTCGCTCAGGTCACTTGCCAGTCTATCGGCTGTAGCGAATCAGCTCATGGGGAAATATGAATAATTAATCATAACTAGTTATAATTAATTATAAATATTTAGATCCGCTGTAGATATTTACTTGACCTCTCAGGGTCAACTGTCTGTCAATTCTAAGAACGTTAATTTCCTGGTTAAGGGAAATAACTTTCTTACTGTTCAATTCTACAAATATCAGCTGAGTGTTGACTAACGTGACCTGCCAGAACTAACGCTATGCTCCATTTATATGACTTTTAAAAGAAAGCGTGCCAGTTACCTATTGGCTGGAGTCTGAACACGTTCCAAGCCAATCAGTGAACTTCCCTCCAAACTTCAAACCAAACCCTCTATTTCTGCTACTGACAACAATTTGCATGCTCGTCACATAGTACTGTAGTAGTAGTACTTAATAGTGCCTTTTAGATTATTTTTTAATTAATTTCTCCCATTATCTCAGTATTTATGTGTTTGTTTTATAATTGTAATAATATGATTTTATGTACTTTATATGAAGACCACTTCTACATATATAACTGCTATATAAACTTGCCTTGCCTATTCTGTATTTTATTATCTGATTTTAAGCATACTACTACTTCTAATAGTAATAATGTTGAGAAAGTATGAAGTTTCATAATGTACTTGTATAAACATGTAAACACACACGTACTTTAGATTCCATCCATAAAATATTCACTCATAGCAATATTAATGTACAAAAGTATTTGTACTCGAACATGAAAGGCCATTATTTTTGCCTCACTGAACATATAACCAAAAAAAAAAAAAAAAAAAGATTTTTACAATGAATTAGTAGGGGGCTCTTAAAAGAACCGTTTTGATAAACCACAGATGATTGAGATTTTATTTCTTCTTGGCTGCTGTCTTTTTAGGTTTGGCGGCTTTGGGTTTCGCCGTCTTGGGTTTGGCTGCCTTGGTCTTTTTAGGGCTCTTTGCTGCTTTCTTAGGAGTCGCTGGTTTCTTTGCTTTTTTGGGGCTCTTCGTTGCCTTTTTAGCAGCGGGTTTATTGGCCTTCTTCGGAGATTTCTTAGTGGCGGGGCTGTTTGCTGCGTCGGTTTTGGGCTTCTTAGCAGCGGCAGGTTTCTTGGCTGCGGGACATTTAGTTAATTTTGAACGAGTCTTTAATGTGATTCGGGAAGAACGAGTCATTTCGGGGAGTGATTCGTTCAGTCGCGCATGCGCAACATTCTATGGGCTCTGTACTGGAATTAGTTCACCTGTTACGAGTCTTCGGGTTTGAGTCGTTCGTTCATCACGTGACAGCCCCATACGCTTAAACAATGCAGTCTGAGCCGGAAAGAGAATTGATTAGTTCATCTC